ATGGTAATACATCTCTAGATTTAGAAATTAATTATGTATCGATAAAACTCATACTCAATTAATAAAATCGTGAGAAAAGCCTCACTTTAACACTTTAAAAAAAAAGATACAAGAAATAAAAATCTTACCATTTTTTACTTTTTCTTATAAACTTTACTTGTAATTAAAGATCAAAGTTTTAAATAAAAACTAATTGATTCATGAATTAATTTTAATTTAAATCAGTTCAGTTTTTAAAAAATTTTGATTCAATTAAATTTAGATTAATTTAATTTAAAAGATAAAACAAAGTTTAATAAAATATTAGAATAAAAATAAAAATATATACAGTATATAACAAAACTTTTTGAAATTTTTTTTAAAAATTTTAATATTTTGATTAATTATAAATTAAAATATAAAAAAATTTGTTTATTAAAAAATATAATATTATATTTTATTATTAATTAATTTTAAGTTTATTCTATTTAAATTTATGAATTTATAGAATTTTATTTTTTATTTTTGATATTATAAAAAAAAACTTTAAAATTCAAAAATTCAAATTAAAAATTTTTAAAAAAAATTTTTTAAAAAAAAAAATTTATATATTAAATTAAAAAATTTTTAAATTTATTGAATTAAAATTTTTAAAAACATTTTTATATATAATTTATATTATTATAATTTTTAGATTCTAAGCTTTATTTTGATATATTGTTTATTAATTTTATGCAATTGTTTTTAAAATTATAAGTTTATATTGAAAAATATAAATTGACTATGATTTTTTTTAAGACCAAGAAATAGTTTAAAAAAAAAACAAATTTTATTATTTTTTGTAATTATATTTAGAAAGTTAAAATTTAAAAAGCTTAAGATAATTAATATTATAATGTATAATAATAACTTAATAAACTTACTTCTTTGTAATGAAATTGTTAATAAATAGTTAAATTATATGGACAATATAATAATTTTAATATTAAGAATTCAAAGATTATATATAAATTTATAAATAACTTATTGACAAGTATTTTGCAATATATACAATTTAGTTTTATATAATGCCTTAGAATACAATATATTATTTTTTTTTTTATAAGATTAATAAATATACAGAATTGTAATTTGATTAGAGACAAAAAAAAATTTTTTTATTATTTAATTCAAGAATTCAATATAATTAAAATTCAAAATCAAATTGAAATAAATAAAATTTTTTAAAAAAATGCTTGTAAAAAATAATAAAAGATTTTAAAATTAAATAATATTTTTTTTATTTTTAATAAATAAAACCTCTAATAATATTACTTCAATACTTAAATTTACTATAAATTTATAAATAAGTTACACTACATACATTAAATTTACTATAAATCAATACTATTTTGATATTATTTCAATATTAGTTTGATACTTTTTTAAAGTCCTAATAAAACATTTTTATTTTTAACTTTTAAATAGTTTATTTTTTGTATTTACTTGCAAAAATACAAAAAATTTATAAAGAAACAAGTAAAAGAAAACTAAAATTTTTAAGTAGCAATGTTGTTAAGAAAAGTAAATAATTTTATTACAAAAAATAATAACTTTTTAAAATATCTGTTTTTTGAATTAACAAAAGAATTAGCAGAAAAATTCTTGTCATTAATATATACAGTATATAGTATATTAATTAATTGTTTTAATTATGTAATATTCTAATTTTCTAAATAATTAATTTTTTTAAATTGTTGGTTTTAAAATTATTAAAGTGACTGTGATCACAGTATTGTTGGAGATGCATGTATGTTATTTTTGCAATTAAATCTTTACACAGTAATCAGACATGTTATTAAATATTGTGGTAATAGAGTGGTAGGAAAGTAGAATGCAAGAGCGGTCAAGAATAGATTGGACTAGGTTTTATCATACCTTACAAGAAAGGTTTACTTAGAGTTATGAGTTCTGGTCGAGAAGTAACAGTTCGTAGTTTAATGCAAACAAAATATAAAGGAATTTTAAATTACCGACCTCAGGGATTGTGATGAACATATTAAAATGTGACCAAATCCAAAATTCAGGACAAGGATTTCTTTGTGTCAATGTGTAAATTGTATGCAAACTTTAACATGCACATCGGAATTTATTAGAATTGCACATATCTATTTCCATTAATGTGATGATAATGACAAATGGAAAAGAAAAAAACGATGCGAATTGTGAAAGGGTCCACTGTAGAAATATATGCTTACGTACAAAAATTGTTTATAACAAACTCTTAATTATTATTTGTTTCAACTGATAAATGTGACATTCATACAGTAAGATTCGTCGGATGATATCATTTATTATTGGTTAGATTTTTCCCTTGTATCTTTCACCTTAGTAATAGTATTATTTTTTCTCCGGCGATAAACAGCATAGAACAATGCATTTACAATTGACCAAGATGAAGATGAGTCCATTGTACGAAAAAAAAAGTAGTACGTTAATTTCGCTCGCAAATTCTTATAAATAAGAGGATGATGCATTCAATTATTTCTCTAAGAGACTATTCCAGGCGAATTACCATACCTTTTACTATCAAATCTTCAATTTTTCTACGAATAAAAGTTTGTAGACTCTTCTTCATTCTTTAACAAGTGAGGGCTGCGAAATAGCTCATTGTCATTTAGTGAAATCGCTATAATGACGATAGCAAACATTGATTCCATATCTCAGCAACAATCACCGCCGCTATATTCAGAACGCGACGATAATATCAACAATAATTCATTCGTCGTCATCCCACCAGTTGCCGTAATTCATATCTCTGATTCGCATGAACATTCACCTGCAAATTCAATTATTACCTCTGAATATCCACCTTCCTATTCTGCCGTTTTTAAAGATTCACCTCCAAACTATTCTGCCACGAATTCAACGATTGATCCATCCTTGATTATAGAACCGTTTCAACAACAACGGTGGTCAAAGATCAAACGAATTTACGTATGCGGCTTTCTCTTTTGGCCCTTTTGGATTGTTGGTTCTTTCTATATATTTTCAAGTAATTTGGATGATAGGAGTTGGGCGAGAAAATGTTTATTCAACTCCATTATTTTTTCCTCGATGTTTTCTTATGTAATTGTAACTGTGGTTAAAATGAATAGTGAATAACTTAAGAGTTAAATATGTAAAAACCCATATGCCAATATGTATAAATAAGATTTGTAAGCTGTAAGCGAATATCATAAAAAATAAAGATTAAGAATTATATAATAAAGCAAAAAACCCATGTTATATTTTGACCTTTATACACAGTCAATAGCATTATGTCTTACTAATATAATTGCAAATCCATTATTAATCAATTATAAAAAAGCAAAGTGCATTTAAAAAAATAGATTAACTATTATTCAACATTCATCAATGACCAAAATTTTTTAAATATAATAATTATTGAACAAATTTAATATAAATTTTACAAAATTAATTTTTCTTTTTTAAAAATATAATTATTTCTTTTTAAAAATACTTGAAATATCACTTGTCAATAATTTAAAAAATTTATCCAAATTTTAATTATAAATAGGTATATAAATCTTATAAAATAATTTAATACATAATATTTATTTCTATTTATTTAATATTATTTTCAAATTATTAAATTTTATTTATTAAAATCTTAATATTTTATTAATAAAGTTATTAATTTATTTGTTTTTTTAAAACTAAGTATAACACATGTGTGGTTTTTATTAATAAATAAAGATTACATTATATTATTATATAAACAGTCTACCTAAATTATTATCTAAGTACTAACTAATATATCCATTTTTATTAATTCAATAATATATTTTTATATTATAAAAATGAATCTATATATCAAGTGAAATTAAATTAAAAGATGAAAATCCTGCTACCAGTTTTAAACCACTTAATCTACTATTTCAATTTTGTTAGAAAATGTCTATTTTATAAAAGTTATTAAAATTATTAAATATCTTGATATTTTTTATCTTGAATTAATAAAAAGATATATACTGTGATAGAATAGATAACTTAGTTTTATTTTTACTTATTTTTATCAAATTATTATTAGTTTATTTTTAGCAATAGGATTTATAATTTTATTATAGTATAAATATCTATTTATAGCATGTGTGATGTAGATCAGACAGCCTAGAAGGTCCAAACAGCCCAGAAGGCCCAGAAGACCTACAAGGCCTATGATTTATGAAATTATGACATTGTGACACGTAGATCAGGCAGCCCAGACAGCCTAGACAGCCCAGGCAGTCCAGATAGCTTAGGATAGAAAACAGTATATAAGTAGCTGCCATCCATATAATTTTTAGTCAGTTTTCTGATAACTTACTCCTGTAACTATTGGAATTTCTGACTTGATGTCATAATAAAGTATTATTATTTTATTAAACATATTTTGGATACAAAGATTCATTGAGGAATCTTTGCCGTACCTTGGAATATTTGTGAGAGATTATCTCTGGAACGACGAACTGTTTTATATAATCTCTAATTTCTTCTAAAAACTATCACTTGGATACAGATCAAATGGATTTTGATCACAATACTGTACTTTGAATTTAATTAAAAATTTAAAAAATTTTATTTATATATTAGTTTTATTATTATTATTATTATTATTATTTTAATCCTGCAATCAGATTGATATTGTTTATTTATTAAATTATAGAGAACTATTACACATACGAGAATACATGCAAAGTACAAATTTCCTTGATCTAACTTATCCATTAACAGCCAAAGCCTCTAGATGCAATTTATAAAGGTGATATATTGTTCTCCTAAAGGATGGGATTAAGATCCTGAACTTCTAATAGGATCAAAACCTATAGATCACCTCCATATTCATGACCATAAATCCAAATTGTGTCACCCCCTCTTGTAAAAACTATACAAGAGAAAAAAAGAATAAAAAAAAGAATTTTTGGTAAAGAGAAAAGAAAAAAAACTATCATCTATTCTAATTATTATTGAAAAGGTTATCTCAATAAACTTAAAACTCAAGCCTCTTATAATTTCTCACTTCTCACCACCTGTGACCAGTCAAACTGTTTAATTTCAATGGAATAATCAATATTCAAGAACATTTAAGAGTACTTCCAGAAAAGTATTTCTTAAAACTTTACATTTGAAAACTTTTAATCAGAAAGGATGTTAGTTTTCTATTGATGATTTTTTTTCCAAGCCATGTTTTCTGAAATTATAGCTTTACTTAACCAGTGGATAGTTTCAAGATTCCTTTCTCCAATTATTTTCAGGATAAATATTGGTACTTCAACTTGTTACCAGATTGGGATATGACCTAGATCTTGTTGCTACTTCCTGTTCTCAAGAAAGAATAGAAAATAAAAAAATAAAATAATAGAATAGAAACAAAAAGAGGTCACTCTTCTACTACTTACAACTTCAATTTCACCTAATACTCTTATACTACTTCTTCAACCAAAAACTGTCCAACTCTTTCAGAAACCAATCACATTATCAGTTTAGTGTTGCGTAACTAGGAACACATAAGGAGTATGTGTCTTGTTTACTTTTTCTGTGGCTAACATGATCAATTAATCCGTAATCTTGACCAATCATCTTTCAGAAAATCTGATATGATCAAAAATTCAGAGTCAAACTGAGATAGACAAAATTCTTTAAAAAAATCAGAAAAAAAAAAGCACACTTGAGAAAAAAAAAAGTGGGAAGCCAAAGAGATGATAGAAAAACTGAAGACTTCTTTATTTTTATTTCTTTAGATTCTTGAATCTTTTGGGAGTCTTTGGAGAATATTTTTTCCTGTCAGTTTTTTTTTTATAAAGGTGTTCTTGCCATAGACCTTTTAGATAGGTTTCTTGTATTTAGTCACAAAAATAAACAAGAAAAATGTTTTGAAAAAAAAAACAAAACAAGTGGTAGCTTCTGCTCGCTTGGCTGGTTAAAACTAGTATTGTTTTTAAGGAAAGTATATAGACTTTATTATTATAAAAACAAAAAAAATCTTTTGAGAACATCTGTTTTTTGGGTTGGCAAAAAAATCAGTGGAATGAGTTTTTTTTATTTATATATTAGTAATTAGTATATTATTTTATTATATTTTATTTATTATTATTATTATTTTTTGTAAGTAAATATAATTTTTTTATTTAATTTGTATAGTAATAGATATATATTATAAAAAATTGGCTGAAAGAAAAATCATCAATTAAAACATCAACCCTCTCCAAGGTTAGAAGTCTTCAAGCATAAAGTTTTAAGAAATACTCTCCTGGAAGTGCCCTTAAACATTCTTGGTCAACAATGGAATAGCAGAAATTAAATAGTTTGCCCAGTTGCAGGTGGTAGTAAAGGATTTATTCTGATGAACTGAAGTTGACATTGGAGAGTTTTTATTTACCAGAACAAACTCTTCAACTATCCTTTCTTATTCACTCTTTTTTTTAAAAAAATAAAAATTTTTTTTACCTCTTAGTACCACAGGGTCATTCAGGGTGACAGTCTTAATGTAGGCTGGCTGAGATCTTTCAAGGCATAGTCTTTGATGTTTAGTCTTAAAAGGGAGCAACTTCTTTATTCCTGATGATCACATCTAGAGAGTTTAGATTTAAAAAGTCTAAGATAGTTAATATCACACAGTAATAGCTTAATGAACCTACTTCCTTGTAGTGAAATAGTTAGTAAATAGCTAAATCATATAAGCAACACAGTGGTCTTGATATTAAGAATTCAAAGATTATGTACAAATCTAAATTTATTGACAGGTGTTCTATAAATTATGTGATAGTTTAGCTTTAGTATAGTACTATATATATTGTATTACTGTTTTCCAAAATTGGATGAATAAACACAACTCTTGCAGTCTGATTAGAGACAAAAAAAAAAGATATATATTGTGAAAGAAATAACATCTCTCATATGTAATAGTATAATGGGTTAAATGTTAACTTGCCTACAGTAATTATTAGACTAATATTGAAAAGAAATTTTAAAACAATATATCTTGTCAAGAGACTTTGAACAACTATGATTACCTACTGTAACAAATCTATAGAACGTCCGACCGAAACCCCGATTTTCACCCAAAAGTCAGAAGACAACCTCTCAAACGCT